GAGAGTGTAACCAGTGTCTGTTATGAGCATGAAGCACACCTTAGCAAATACAACAAATTCATTAAACACGAGCTTGTGGCTTGTATGGAGTTGTGCTCTACTGAACGCGAGTTGGTCTGGGTCCTTTGGTGAACGGGACAATATACCAACAGATCTGTAGGTTCGGCCAGACCATCATGGCCGTAGCAGGACGGGTAACGGTTAATGGCGTTCAACCCCGTGGATATTTCTTTGTGGTCGTGCAAGGCATTTGTCAGGAGGACCTGGCTCCAATTCTGTTGATGTTGTGTGCCGGGCTTTCTGTGCTGAGGTGTGGTAGCGACAACGTGGTTTGTTATTAATGTTTGCAGTTGCACTTTAAGACCGTGCCACATTCTGTTGAGATGCGGGGCTCGTTCGTGGCTGTGGTGCTTGTTGCACCATTCGGAGAACAAGCCAGCTGGGCGGAAGTGTGCTTGACCCGCGTACCGCAAATTTTCAGGCGAGAGTTTGAGCAATCGACAAGTCCGAAATAGTCGTTGGCAGTTGTTAGTTGTTCATAGGAAGCTGTTGCACAGCTGGCTTCAGCGCAGTCCCATGCATTCCGCTTCAGTTGGTCCTAGGTCCTAGGTCGGTCCTAGCACTGCCGTCGGCCAGGGACCCAGGCTCCCATCTAAAGTCGTGTGCAGCTTCAACGGTGTTTGGGAATTTTCTAATTCCAGGATTGTTGCTGTGTTGTTTTTACACAAGAGGTGCTTGGGGCCGTAGTCCGGACGTGCAAGGTTTACCGACGTCACTTCTGGATGTGCGTCTTCAATTGCTTTAATTAGTAACTGCACATTGTCAATTCGAAATAGCTGGTGCGCACAGTACCCGTACAGTAAAGTTGTCTGAGCTTTGTCACTTGGCTGCGAGCTGTTCCTGCTGCCTTCCCGGCGGAAGACGTCTCCTTAAAGCTTCTGTGGTAACCTGGTAACCTATGTCTGAGGCTCTTCCTTATAGTCTATGGCCTTATAGGTATAATGGGTTATTATAGGTCCTTGGCTCAGATCCCTGGTCCCAGAACCCCGGAACCTGTGTCTGCGGTGTATTGTTATGCGGCTTTACTAACTAGACCACCGAAGAACCATGCTAGCTAGAAGTACCGTACTGTAGTGCTCCTGACCCATGTGGCATCGCAGCTCGAAGCAGGCTCTGTTAAGATACGGTGGTCGGACAGTCAGTCGGCTACTCTGAAGCTGGCATGCAAAATGCTAGCCGCTAGCCGATGCCCACTGCAGGTCCTGTCTTCTCAGTGGATTTTTTTCCTTCATAGTTACTGCTGACTGCTGCTGCCATGAGGGTTTCTTCAGCCGGTTAACTTTAGGCGCAGGATCGCACCGAGCCACATTTCTGTGTATGTAATCAAACAGTGGAGCTACTTGTCTTACTGCAAAAGCATGCACTACCCATTCCCGCGGACCCACCGTATACTCATGAATCGCGGAATCTGGTACCAGGCTCCACATCTCCACGTACTATGACACAATATCTCTTGGACTAACTAGAGTCTAGAGTCTAGAGTGTGGCTGTAGGTATGCATCTGCATTGCTTGTTACTTCGGGGACCGGTGACCCCATGCTTACGCAGTCCTGGAGTCTTAGATCCACTATATTATATCAGCAAAGACTGACGGCACGTGTTAGTTACTGCTAGTTACTTGTTCGTACTTGTTGGTTCCTGCTAGTTAGCTAGTTAGCTGAGTTGGGGATGTAGTTGCTAATGTCAGATCTTTGTGTACTTGTATTGCACATACAACGTACATAAGCGCGACACTAATGAACTAAGGTAGATTGGGTTCTTCGTTGGAACAATCAACTGCCTGGTTGCTGAGTTAGTTTCTTTGTTTGTACGCGCTGCTCGTGTGCTATGTTTTATTTGGTTGGCTTGTTTGTTACTATTTGTTTGGAGCCCTTGACGGGATTCCCCTTACTTGTGTCCTCTCCGTCATCCTCACTATCCACCTTGTCCTCATTATCATGCTCATCCTCTCTTTAGATGTCCCAGCAATATTAACCCTTATGATGATCCTCATCGTTGCCAGGATTACCGTCGTCATCATCATCTTTATCATCCTCATGACCATCATCGTCATCAGCGCCCAGGGCCCCAGGGACCTAGGACCCGAGGACCTAGTAAACCTTTTTTAGAAAGAGATTGTTACAGGAAGCAGAGTCTTGTGTGTGTAGTGACAAGGGCTAGCCTGGAGCATGAACGAGGCAGAATGAAGTAGGACCGATTGTAATATAGTTACTAGTTACTAGTTGGGCTGAGGCTGGAGAGGCCACGTTCTATGTTGCACGGCATCAATACCATTTACATCGGTGCAGCTAGGCTGCTAGGATGGTAAGGAGATTCAGGTACATAAGTAGATTCAGTAGATGTGAGTGGCGGCAGTGTGCGGCAGAGTTGACACGTAGAACAGCGTGCGGCATAGCTGTTGCAAGCTCTGTGATGTGTTCCTGACATGCTGCTAGTGACTAGCTATAGCATCGCACCTTTATGTAATTTCTCGGTTAATTATGGTTGCTGGGCTTTACTGCTTCACTTCAGGAACTAAGTTCCTGAATTTAGGATTTATATTATCACATCTTCATATGATTTGCAAAAACTTCTAGCACCTTGTAGGTTTGGGAGGTTGTACATGCAGGGCTAACAAAGCCCCTGAGAGTCTGTCTCGATGGACAGTGGCTTGCTGCGAGGTCGCCTGTTTTTTCTCTCGCATGCCATGTGGGATCCTGGAGCTGCGTGGAGAAATTCTATATTAGTATTTGTATAATGTATAAGTTATATATGCTATCTATTTACAACTCCTCCTGCTAACGTGCGTTGTTTTTGCCGGCTTGCCCTCATTGCAGCCCCAGGGCCCAAGTGAAAGAAGAATGCACTCCTTATGCCGACGATGAGTCTCTCGAACTTCTTTGCGGAAAAAAGACTCCCAATGTGCCTCCGGAAGAGCGCAGTCTGGAGGTCAGACGGCATTTCATTATACAGTCATTGGAGCAAGACGGATCGAGCGCTGGGGTGAGAGCGGGTGAGGTTGTCAGGTAGTGACGTGCAGTGGGTTGCGATCGTGTATCACAGCCCGTCGTCTGGCAGCATGGCCAAGCCGACCAAGAAGCTTCAGGGCAAGGCTACGGCTAAGAGCGCGGCCAAAGCCAAACCCAAGGGGAAAGCCAAGGCGGCGCCGAAGGCTAGCAGCAGCAAGCCCGAGGCAGAGAAGTCGAGCAAGGATCCCAAGGATCGCAAGACCATGAAGCGTGGCAACAAGAAGGCTGGCTGGTTGAGGGATGTGACGGGTATGATGTTGGGACTGGCAGGTTATCGTTATCGCATGCCCACATCCCATGTGGTTTCTTGGACTTGCTGACAATAAATCCGAAGAGCATCACCGGTGCAGAATGCTGTTTTGGAGTAGTACATGAAAGTGTGCACTGTGCATTGCTTGTATCCTTTCAACTTTCATTTGCAGCCTACTATGGGCATTACTATGGCAGCTATGGTTCCAACAATCGCACCGTGCAGGCCAGTGGAGCCAAGAAGGCTGAGCGCCCCAGCCTGAAGCCCAAGACCAAGAAGTGGGCGCCGTGCCTGCTGTGCGGGCGCACTCCCGAGGAGACCGCCTGAATCAACTTTCTCATATATCCACATGGAATTATATCCACCCTGTGGGCTCGTCTACTCTAGAGTCTAGTGTCCAGAGTCTAGTTTCTCTAGAGTCTAGAGCCTTCAGAACCTATAGAGAGACATCGATTTTTTTAGACCCGCTAGACCAGTAAATTCCCCGACATTCTAGACTCAACTCGATTTGACTAGACGTTTTGATCTGTCAAACACTGCATCGAGCACACTCCAGGGCACCCGATGGACAGGAGACTCCATGCTGTAGGGTAGGGCGTTTTTGAGTCGTCCCAACTCGCGCAGTTTGTAAAGCCCGGACAGGAGGTAACAAAGGCCAGGGAAGTCTGGGGACAGTACAGCGAGAGTGGCGAGCCTTTGGGGTCCGTGTGCCGTGTGGACAAGGAGACGAGCGAGGAAGGCTGGCCGGGGCTTCCGGTGGAGAACGCAGCCGAGCTTTGGCACTCGAAGGAGGACAAGACGTTGGCCTTCCGAACCGAGTACGCGACCGCCCGCCGGATCAAAAAAGATGCCGGCATCCTCAAGCGGCGGTTCAGCCCGTCAAGCTCTGTGAAGACGTCCAAGCTGCGCTTTAAGATGGTCTACCATGACGTGGGGTTTTTGACTGACGCTGAGTTCTTGTCCGTTGTCGGCTCGGCGCAGACCTCCTTCAAGAACCTGAAGACGCACAAAGGCCAAGAGCAAGTGACAGACCGCGGTGAGTCCGTCCAAGGCGTGTACGTGAGCTTGCGGGATCTGCCAGAGGGCCTCCTTGGATGGATCCGCAAGGTTCGGACTGGCTACTTGACCCAGGTGCAGCAGGACGACACGCGTCTGAGCCCAGAGCATCAGATCCGTGGTTCCCAAGGCCAGGTCCTGTTCGACCACTTCTCGGAGATCCTGCTCAACTCCTCGGAAAGCGCGAGCAGGTCCAAGCACCGCCCGTCACTCCCGATGATTCCCGCACTCATCAACCAGCTGGCGAGTCAGAAGGAGGACCCTGCTAGCCGCCTCGGCTTGGGCCTTTAGGGCCAGAGGGCTGGTAGCTGCTAGATTCTAGATTCTGCCAGATGCGGGGGTCAGGGTTGGTGAGCTACGGCAGCCGATTGCAAATCTATTGAGTTGGACCGTGTCATGGTATGTGTCGCTGTGTGTAAAGGCTGCCGAGGCATTCGTATTTTCGCAATCACAGAGTCACAGGTCGTCGAAGCCACCTAACATGCAGCATGTCGTTTTACGGCTGCTGAGTTTCGGAGTTGGAAAACTGAGTCTATGACAGAGTTGCAAAGATTCCGTGGGTAAGTCCTTTGTGCGCCCGCGAAACACTCCCAGCAATAGCTTTTGTCACCGTCAATCAATGTCCAAGCAAGTGGAAGCCCATTGGTCACATCCTTCAATGACGTGGTCGTCCGTCGGCATGTGTGTTTCCTCATCAGCTGGTCTTTGAAACCTGCGGAATTTGAAACAGCGAGGTAAACGGGCCCAGCGATGAGGTAGCCATGTTTGTATTTTGTACCGATATGTCCGATATGTCGCTACTTACTTGTGATGTTATTGTTGTTTTTGCTTATCTGTTATTTCGAGTCTTTTTGGGCGTATCCGTTCATACTTACGTTTGTGCCATTTCATGTGTCCATGCCTCTGTAGTGAAGTGTTCAATCCTGTGCTGTGTTGCCCGACCATGTCTGCGCCCGTGGCGCGTACGGGGGCCTTAATGATTGTCCAATGCAGGGTCTTGAACTTTTCAACTTCTGGGTACTCGGGTAGTCAGGGTAGTCTTCCAGAGTGACAAGTCGTCTGCAGGAGAAGAAAGCGGAGGAGGAAGCGAAGAAAAAGGAGGAAGCCGGTGGCGCTGGCACGGGGGGCGCGGAGGGCGAGGAAGGCGAGGAAGAGGAGAACTTCGTGCCGGACCCTGTCCTCGAGGACGACGTGGAGGAAGTCCCGAAGGACGAGCGGTCCGTGACAGCTTCCCAGTTGGCGCTGCGGCCAGACTTGCTGGCAGGCGCTGCTTCGTCGTCGGCCTTTGAACAGCCGCCCGTGAAGAGTCGGCAGACGTCAAGCAAGGCGGGCAAGTCCAGGAAGAGCGCCGTGCTCGAAGATGCGACGGCGGCCGAGGACGACGCGTGCGAGATCGACCAGGCCGACGCGCCCAAGTGGATGAAGGAGGACAGCATCTTGAGTCAGGTCATCAAGAAGCTGGGCAAGGTCTACAAGTGCTTCCATCATCTCAGTCCCAGCTCGGCGTTTGAGCAGCGGCTGGCCCTGGGACACCAGTTGCGAGGTGTTGCTCGGCCGGGTGAATATCAGAATATCATGTCCTTATGACACATGCACTGCTGCTGCTGCTACGGCGACTAGGACTATATTATATACGATGACGATGACGACGACGAAGACGACAAGGACGACTACTACTACCAAGTTACTGCTAGCTCTACTGCTGATTTTGCTCTCAGTAGTTGCTAGTTCTACAACGACAATTACTCAATGACCCAATTACACACTGCTAGGTTACTACTACTACTACTACTCCTCCTCCTCCTGCTGCTGCTGCTGCTGCTGAGCTGCTGCTTTTTGGTATCATTTTGGATGAAGACCACATGAAAGCACGTCTGATGCTTTCGCTTCCGGTTGGTATTCTTCCGAGCCCACCCGAAAGGGCTCTCGGTTTCATGCTTTCAAAACATGGTCTCAGCATTTAGGGTTGGGCGAATAATACTTAAATGCAAGTGAGATGCTTTCACTTCCGGTTTGTATGTAAATGTTCGAGCCCACCAGCAAGGTCTCTTGCTTTCTTGGGTGAGGACTGAGGACCACATAGAGACCGCCAGATGCTTTCTCATCCGCTTTGTAGCTATACGGCTGCTAGTTAGGAACTTGCGTCATGGACAGCACGGAAGCTTCAGATCTTACGCATTCCTTGTTTGTCATAATACAAAGCCCTGCCGTGCTTGGCCCCTGCGGGAAACATTGATTCCATTCAACTTTTACGTGTTGAATCTGTGAAACACTGGATTTGCAAACATCTTGGGCATCCTCGATATGTACAGTGTATGTCATGTATGTTATAGAAGGCAACATCAGGGATGAAGAAGTTGCAATCTCTACTCACATGGATTGATTTGAGTTGACGATACTAGACTGCTAGACTTTGGTAGACTCGTAGACTCAGTAGCCGTAGACTCCTTTCGCAGGACCTATGTTGCAAGGTGCCGTTGTTAGGCTCAGTATGGTTTATCCTTGACGTGTTGAGTTGAATCACGACCGAGGCCAAGAAAGTGGCTGATACGATGAAAGGCAACCGCCTTTCCCAGCACTCGCTGCTGACAAGCAGGATTGAGCTCATGGAGCATGTGGACAATTTGATCAACCCCGCAAACGCAATCAGCAAAATGACGCCTCCGATTCTCCGGGGCTCCCTCATGAAGCTGCAAGAGGAAGACATCGCATTGCCATACGATCTCCGGCTGCAGGCCGCAGAGCGCTTCACGATGGCAGTGTTGGACGAGATGTCCGAAAGCGCCACCCACGAAGACAAGCCTTTCCAGAAGGGCCTGCCGAAATGGATGAGGCTGTGCGCCGTGTGGGAGGCATCCAGGACAAAAGATGGGGGCACGCAGGCGGGACACGAGAGCGACCCTACGTTTGGGTGGATTCTCCAGTCCATGCAAGACGAGATCGGTGTCAGCCTGAAGCTGAAGCAGTTGTCCGCCCAGGAGGCGGAGAACAAGAAGAAGGAGAACCACGAGGCTGACAAGAAGTGGCTGTGTTTTGTGCGGGGTCGGGCAGGTCGGGTAGGTAGGTATAGATAGATTCGGATATAGTAGTAACGAGTAAGGCCGCGAGTAACTAGTAATCAACTACTATACATTCGCTAGAGCCGCTAAGATTAGATTCGATTAGAGTCGATAAAGATACAGGGTCGTTACTGAGTAGCTTTACCTGAGTAGCTCAGTAGTTGCACCAGAAAATTCAACTATTTCTAAGAGCAAAGGTGGACACGGCTACCGCTACGGCTACTGCTGCTGCGACTGCTGCTGCTGCTGCTAGTAGCCTCCTAATTCTGCTATACTACTACTACTACTACCACGACTACTACTACTACTGCTACTGCTACTGCTACTCTGCTACTGCTACTGCTACTGCTACTGCTTGGTCTCATTTTGGGTGAAGACCACATGAAAGCACCTCTGATGCTTTCACCGCGGTTTGTAAGCTTCGGAGCCCACCAGAAGGGTTTCTTTCCCGGCTTCTAAGCCTCGCAGTTCAAAAAATGGTCCAAAACCACACAAAGGCACGTCTGATGCTTTCACTTCCGATTTTCAAGCCTCGGAGCCCAGCAGAAAGGTCTCTTGGTTTCGTTTTTGGGGTGAAAACCATACAGAAACCGTCTGGTGCTTTCCCTTCCTCGGAACCCAGAAACATGCATGGCGGTCCCGCGGCTCGCTTCTAGTCATTCTAGTCAAGTCCCAATCATGTGCGAACTTATTATATAGTTCATTCTTTACGCAGTGCACTCTTGCATCAATGTTGCATTACTTATTTTACAGGTCCAGTCCTGCTCGAGTGTTCGCGCGAGGGCGAAGCGTGAAGAGATTGTTTCGGCTTTCGGGATGGGTTGCAGCAGTGTGCCCCTATAGGCTAGGTCGACGTGTATAGTAGTATAGGTCTGGTTGGGTCTAGGTCCAGGTACGGGTACCGTGTCATGGCCGAATCTGGTTCATGGCAAAGCGCACGAGAGCATCGCTGCAGTGAAGTGGTAAGTGATAAGTGCTACTGAAACAAGTGTTGTTTGAGTGATCTTCGTGAATCTGCTAGCCCCTGGACTCTAGACCAACGTTTGGTATGAGCTCAAGGTTCATTGTGGTTCCTATGGTCCCATGGTATTTATTTTGGGTTGCAGGTGCTAGATTCTAGATGCTAGGTCCATTCTAAATTCTCAATTCAATATTCAATGGACTTGAATCCTGTGTGCTCGTGAACATGGCAACACCTCGGCTCTGGCATTGAGCCTGGGCTGTTGTTGTGATGTTTGGTGTTGGCAAAACCATCACAAGGTAGTCGCTACAGTGCAGGGTAGTCAGTATGATGTAGACAGTCTCGTCAGTTTGCAGGGGTGCAATTGACGAATCGTGGCAAGCAGCAGGCGGCTGCGTCCTAGGTCCTAGGTGTCATGCAGTCTTGCAAGTCCTGTGGTCGTAGCATCGTAGAGCAGTAGAAACTCAAGCCTGACCTGGGTGTGCGCATGAGTCATGAGTTTAAGCCGAGCCTAAGCCCTAAGCCCAAGCTTGACAAATATGGTAAACAGCCTTGCTTGTGCATGACGGGATGTTTCGCGAAGGCCTTGGCCGAGTACCTCATCGACTGCCTCGCGAGCGAGCAGTTTCTGTCGATGCTTCAGACACCGTCCACCCCGAATCGGAAGAAAATGCTTCTGATGTCGGAGGCCTACCTGAAGGCCTTCGCCGATGCAAAGGCTGAGAAGCTTGTCTACGAGATGCTTCCTGCGGAGATCTGTGCTGTGTTGGACCGGTTCGCAGCCATGTGCAGTGCCTTCATCAGCCTGAATCATCCCCGTCCGGGGCATGCGGGGTCGAACGCAAAGGACTTGCTTGACTTGGTGACCAATGCAAGTTCTCATGCGGCAGAGAAGAGGATGCGCAAGGCTTTCAGCGAGCAGGGCTCGGTGTGGCAAAAGCTGTACGATGAGCTGCTCAGCAAGGGGCAGAGCACGACGGCCTTGCTGCCGGTGCTGGACGAGCTGACCGAGAAGCTGAGCAACTTCAAGGTTGACGACAAGCAGCAAAACGTCATTGCTTCAGTGGATGCAGAGCTGCTGGAACGCTGCGTGGAGCACCGCCCACAGTTCGAGAAGGACATGCGCAATGGCCTTCTGCAGAGCTTCGATTTGCAGCTTTGCAGAGTGGCCCTGCTGGTTGCAAAGGCAGTGCCGGCCCACTCGGCGGAGGACCTGGCCTCGATCAACCCGAAGTTCAACGTGGACGTCGCCATTGCAGCGTTGGACGCCTGTCTTGAGGCACCAGGCGTGGCCGAAGCGAAGAAGAGTTTGCAGGGCTGGCACAAACGGGAGCGGTCTTCCCTCCAACTGCTCGATCTCCTGAAGGTGTTGCATTACTACCCCGAGACCCTGGCAGCGGAGATTCCGGAAGACTTGCACTTTGCCCACCACGGCAAGATCCTCTTTGAGAGCATCCTGGCTGTCGGAACGGAGATGCTGAGCAAGAATGACAAAGCTCGGCGAGCCTGCGGGGTAGCTTTTGCCGTGCTTTTCGAGAGCTTGTTGCAGGTGTGGCTGCTCACGACTGTTGTCCTTGTCAGTTTTTGCGTCAGATTTCAGAACATGCAGTGACATTTTTTGTTTGGCATTGTACTCAACGGTGTCGGTCGTATGTCGTATGTCCTATGTCCTATGTCCCATGTCGCACGTCCTGACATTTTGGGGAGTCGTGGGTCCCAGGTCGCAAGTCCTATGTCCTATAGTCCCATGTCCCATGTCCTGCGTCGTACCATCGTGCACCGTACATTGCTATGCCATGCTGCCATGCTTTCTGCACAATTGCAGGTTCGAGCACTGGGCTCCTGCGAACGGTATGTTTCAGTAAGTGGTTGCAACCTAATTACATGTGCATTCGAAGGTGCTGGAGTTCTCAAGTGCATCCTGTGCAGTGCTCTTGTTGACGGGGTTTGTTTCAACGCTTCTCAACATCCCCTCGAAGCACAGACACACGCACACCCAACACACGCCGTAGAGTCGTAGAGCCCCATACAACTTTGGATGGTTTGGAGTTCAGCCGAACTATGAGACATAAGATCGTTGTCACTAGTTACTGGTTGCAGCAAGTCAGCAGTCTGGTGAGGTCTAGAGTCTAGAGTCTTGGCAGTCTAGACCAGTGCAGGCCGTCTGAGCCGAGTCGTTATGACATCGACGTAGCGATCTAGTGAACCTCGTGACCTGGTGATCTGCTGACTTAGTGACAGCCTACAGTGAGAGTGTAAGCAGTGTAAGCCACACTGGACAGCAGCAGCCGCAGGCGCAGGTTCCGAGCAACGAGTGGAACGCTGATGCCAAGGCCGTCCTGACCCTGGGCATCAAAGCTGTTCATCATCTTCAGCATCCGTGCGCCGACAAAGTGGAGGCTGTTGCCCGGATCATCCTGGCCGGCTGTGACTTCCTAGACCAGGTCGGTGTGCTGAAGCAGATGGGGGACAGCCCAGAGTCGCGTGTTGCAGCGGATGCCAATGCCACTGTGATGACTTCCATGCTGGTTCAGGCCAGCAGAGTGGCGTCGATGCTGGCGGACGGGACTGAAACCGAGGCCCTGGTCCCCAGCAACCCCGGCCAGGAGGATGTGACAGCGTTGGTCAGCTTGAATGCCGACTCCACGATCCGGCAGATCCTTCAGGATGAAGACTTCATGGCTTGCTTGAAGGTGACTGTGGACAGCATGACCCAGAGTGTCAGAGAGGCACAGGACAAGGCGACGACGGCCGTCAAGGGTTTCCAGAACGGCGGGGAAAGGTACTGGAAAGCTCAGCTGGCGGCAACAGCCGAGATATCCGAGGTGCTTGCGGCCGCAAGCAAGAGCATCGATGACATTGACGGAGAGCAGGCAGATGAGGCGATCGACGGTCTGAAGCAGGCCCGAGGTTCCGGTTATCGAAAATACTTAGAATTGCTGCTTGGACGTGCTGTCACTTCGCGGGTGATAAGTTAAACACTTAGATTGTGTGGGTCGGCTGGCTGACGAGTAGTGACTATTGGTGTTGTCAGTGGCATAGTGACTGGAGTCTTGTGTCCTGGTGGCCCCTTTTTTGTCAATATGCTCATCATCGCAGCCTGTTACCCCGGTGTAGTGTAATGGCTCCTGAGGTCCCGGCTAGTTTGGGAGTTATTCGATGGGCCCATGAACTAGTAACCGTTTGCCATGGTGACCGCATTGTCTTCAACTTGGACAGAGTCTACATACTTACTGCAACCGTGTCCGTATTCACTTCTGTCACTACTCACTACTCCGCGACTCAGGCTACGCTGCTTGTTGTGCTCATGCATCTCGAGCATCATAACTTGCTCTTTAACGGAAGTGATTGGTGTTGTTTTTCGCATTGCTGACTAGTGACTAGTGACTAAAGACTCGTGCAACTGATGAAGTAATTGGCTTGGTAGCTGGTAGCTGGTAGCTGCAAACTGCTCCTGCTGGCGTGAGTCAGTCGAATTGTTTATGTTCTGCCTCTCAGCTCAGGCGACGAAAGCATCGGAGTGTAAGGAGTTTTGTTCCGGACTTTCGGAGTGTAGAGTGTAGAGTTTGGGGAAAGTTTAGAAGTTGCGGGCTTTGGGATGTTGAGTTTGAGACTGTGACTAGACATTTCAGTTTTTAGAAAAGCATGTGGCAGTTCACGGCCACGGCCCATTGAGTCAACTAGTAACTAGCCGACCTCGCAGCCGACAGGTTCTTTCCAAGTGCGAGGATTTCATCGGGAAGGCCACCTTTTATGGATCCGTGATGCCTCAGATGACGGGCTTCAAGGCTTTCGTGGACGGCGTCAGGGTCATTGCAAAGAGATGCAAGGCCCTCTCCTGCGAGTCTCTTCTCGCCTTCGCGCACAGCAGTTGCAAATCGATCGAATGGCAAGCGAGGTTGATCCGACATCAGCTCACGGAAATTATGATCGGCAACATTGATGAGGCCGACCTGCATCCGGTCCTGCTGCAGTCCGCAAGGTCTCTGGTGGAGTCGGCCGGCAAGCAAGCCAGGGACGAGAAAGAGGGCAAAAACAAGGCCCCACCAGCCGCGACATCTGAGGAGGCAGGCGCAGCTTCGCGAAAGAAGTTGCGGTTGGGTTGAGCAACAACTGACTTCGTCCTTGAGAGTGCTCTTCCGTCAGCTTGACGAGCAACGTGGGGAGAAACACGTGGCCCTTTCAATTTTAACATGTGCTGCAGCCGCACGTCGCAAGTGCTGTAGTTTTGTCGCACAGTGCGGGGATTCAGGCGTTCGCAGTAGCAGTAGAGCAGTAGCCGTAGCACTAGCCACTAGCAGCTAGCAGACACTAGCTGACTAGCTTTTTCCACGTTCTAGATTGTAGATCAGTGTAGCAATAGATTCCATAGACCTGTAGTCGTGTGGTGTAGCGTAATGAAGTGCTAGTCTGCTAGTCTGTTTTGCAGTAGTGAAACAGGGATGCTAGTATGTCCTGAAGTGTATGGAAGTTATGTGCGCAGATCTTTGGAAATATCTGAACTCGGAGCTGTCCTGCCCGCTAGCTGTCACTAGCTTGGAGGCCGTGTAGTGTAAGCCTAAGCCTTCAAAGCAGCTCCTACTGCTAACCCGGCTTTCTGAGTGAATGCTGCGCATCAGATGGTGTATCACGGACTAGTCATTAGTCACTTGGTGCTTGTGTTGAGCCTGTATCTTCGTCCGTCGGGGCCCTCGGGAATGGTTCGTCAGTGAATAGGAATCGGAATTAGTATCATTATTGTGATCACGACGAGGGGTTCGCAGAATGTCCGCCTGTGTGCCAAATTTCTCCGCTTCGACCACGACGCAAGTTCACGTCAGCCTTGTGTGACGGTTATCCGGTTATCAGCAGCTACGTACTTGCTTGGGTTTCAGTCTAGAGTCGAGTCTAGCAGCGAATTTAGTGGTGCTTGCAGTTACATCTGTGGTGTTGCAATACTGTGGCAGCCTCAGTCGTGATGCCATAGGTCCCGGTAGGTAGGTAGTGTCTTTCAGACAAACAATGAGTAACAGAAGCAACTCTCTCGACGCAGTTTGGCCATTCATCTACGGTATCTACGGCGTACTGCGGCAAGTTGCAGTGGCTCCTGGAGTTGGGAACCCCGACTTCGGAACCTATTTAAAATAGTTAATGCCTCATGGTTCCAACACCCCGAGCTCAAGGTGTGCTTAATCACTAGTCACTAGTCACTAGTCATAGTCACTAGTCATACTCGCTGGCGTGCTTGCCAGGTCCTTATCTTTAACACGCAACCACTGCGTGCAGATGCCATCCAGCCCTCGAGACACTAGACTGAGTAGAGTCGAGAGTGCATGGCGGGGAATTTGGAGCCTGGCCGCGGGGACATAGTCAGTTACAAAGCCTTCAGTTTCTGAGTAGGAGACGTACCTGGACCTACACCTAGACTAGACTCTTAGACTTTAGACCTCCCAGGCTACCGAACATCCCATAGCACCATGCTACAACGGAAGCTTGACCGTCGACCCTCAGACCTCAGACTCTCCGGTTCTGCGCAGTCGAAAGGAAAATGTCAGCCGTCGACATTCTCACTATCGCATCTGAGCTTTGCTACTTTATATTTTGGAATTTTAGAGCCGACAGCATCCCACACGTTTTGGAAACCATGAAACAAATCACTGGAGATGCGGGGCTTCCCCTGCAGAGTCTCTTGACGTGTCGGTGTCGTCGGTTGAGCCTTGCAGGTCCTGGCCCCTCCATGGTATCCCGTGTCACCGAGATGTCTGTACGTCGGTAGTAGTTTTCGGCTACCGGATAGCATTCGATTCTCACAGTGGTGGTAACCGGTAACCGTAGTCATGCATGATCCTCTCCTCATCCGGTGCGCCGACGAGATCAATAACAACTGTAAGTGCGACCGCAACCGTAACAACCAAATAGCCACAGTGACCGAGTATCCAATACACTCAGTGAGGATTTGCCGTTCGTGTTGAAAAGAAACAGCCCTTTCTTTTGTGTGGCGGGAGTTCGATGGACCGATGTCGTGTGTTTGATTTCAATAAATTCATACACGGATTTATATTTGAGAGAACACGTATAGCGGATAGTGTGGAGCATTTTCTAATAGTATATTTGGATTTGGGTTTTTGTTTTAAGGCAAGGAAAACCATGAGCAGCAACTGGAAATCCGAGAAATAAGCAGTTAACATACAAATAGCTGCCAGGTGAAACGAACCTTATAGCAAACGCAAAAACACTGCAAAACCGCTATTTGACTAATATTTAAAGCATATTAAAACAACATAGCCGAAGAATGAATTGTAAATAATTTCGTAAATATTTCGTAAATATTTCGTAAATATTTTCATAAAAATTTGCAATTCGTAAATTTTTTCTAAAATTATTTCGAAAATAAATCGAAAATAAATTAAATCGAGGATCTGGCCGGCTGCCTGCCTGTGTGAATCTCTAATATAGGCAATAATCCGGTAGCCCAGCATCCAGGTGCACCCTTGAGGCTCTCAGACGGGGATGTGCTTACCTTTCGGAGACTGCCTCAGGATTGGATCCCGCGCCAGTCTGCTGCGGAGCTCTTTCATGATCCGCTCCTGTGGGAGCCGCCGCTGGACATGCCTCGTTTCTCGCCAGCGACAGGGGTTTTGGTGCACCATGGACCCGAACGGGTCTTTATGCCCAAGCATCACCATTATGGGCAGTCCCCCCTTTCAGCGATTGCCTCCATGTGGGACTACCAGGAAGGTGAGTTCACTGTCTGTGTGTTTTTGACACCAGACCTTGACTATAGGGGTAACCCCTGCTCTCAGGTAGCCTGTGTTGCCCAGCTGCCTAGTGCACAGCTTGTCGCTCCGCCTGCGTACAGACGTCGGGATTTGTTTGTGCTGTGCGATTTTCGGAGCCTGGGCTATGGAGTCCGCATTGCCCACAGCAGCGTTCCGTGGTTGCACCTCCCCTCCGTCGCTGCCGTCGCAGGGGTCAGTGTGCCACCAGGCCTCAGGCTTGTTGCTGCAGGATGGGAGGCAATGGGGGAGGATATCCGCCTCTATGGACATGATGCCTTTGTCATTCGGGCTGTATCCGATGCCCCGATCGTGCATGACCCCCCGGCCGGTCCTGCCGACCGCCACGTCCTCGATGTTGACCTCCGGGGGTTTCTCTTTGACCCCCTTCCCTTTGGCCGTGTTGATCGAGCCCTCAAGTGCCCTGCGGCTACCGCGCAGCACGCTCTACCTGAGAGCAAGCCGTCGGGTACCTCTGTACTCTCAGCGCGGGATTTTCGTGTTCCTCAGATGCCCTGGGATCGGGCATTCTCTCCTCCGGAGGTGCCGCTCTTTTGCTGCAAGCTCCTCCGGTCCGGGATCTCACTGTCTCTACCCCGGCGGATGAGCGCCGGCTGGAAGCCGCCCGCACGGCAACTCGGCTCCTTGGTCAGCGTTGGCCTTTCGACCCTGCTTGGCTCCCGGTCTGGCCGGAGCTTGAAGATGATGACCGGGCGGACTCTGATGCGGCTGTCGAGGGTGACACTGTTGTCGCTGCAGTCTCTTGCATTTTCGCGCCGGGCTTTGTGCCTGAGGTACTGCCGTTGCACTTGATGGTCCCACAAGAGATTCCTGGTCTGCTTGATCTCGTGCAGACCTGCCGCAACGCTGATCATGCAGTTGTGTTTCCGGACCTCGTTGCGGTTTGGCCCCAGCCGAGGCCATCGTGGGGTGCTTTTGTAGCCCTGCCAGCTTGGCTGCACCACCGCGTTGTCATATGCCTGGACTTGACGCAGTGGGACGGGCGCCTTTTTGCAGCAGATACACACAACACAGTTGATAAATACTGCCTATTGCAATTGGCCGGGCTACACCTTGCGGCCGAGGTCGACATTTTCCTTCCTGATGCAATCGAGTCCCTGCTGGCGGGGACTTCACGGTCAGGACAGGTATGTGTGTTGTATTCCTGCCGCCGGGCCGGATGCCGCCACCTGCCTTTACCCTCCAGGAGATGCTTCAGACGCCACATCAGTGGTGTCCCAATCCACCGCTACCTTTCGCTGGCACGCCCGAGCATTATCTCGTGGCCACGGAGCAGGGTAACCACTTTTTCCGCCTCCTCCCCGAGAGGTCCATCTATTTGCGCACCGACCTAGCGGTGCGCTTTGGCTTCGCCATGCAAGGGCTTCGTATCCAGCCCGCGCAGCCCCAGCAGAGCAACGCCGCTTTGTGTGGCCACATTTGCCGCAATGTAGTTGTGCTTACTCAGGGGCGTGGCCCCGCCGACGAGACCGAGGAAGCTATGTGCCTCATTGACGGCAGGGCACTGCTAATCGGATGGCTTCCACTGCGCACTGACGAGGGGCAAGTTAGTCTGACTTTCCTTCGCAACTCTCTTCAGCATTGTGTTCCGGCCGGTTGGCTCGTGTGCTTTGCTGGTGTGCCCAGCCACTGGACGTGGCTTTGGCTAACTCCGGGTCAGGTCCTGACAGTTCATCTCTTGCGCCATCAGGATACCCTGACCCTTTATGATGAGGCCCAGGATACACCGGCAGACTCGCCTGGTGACCCGGGTGGCGATCGTGCTGGGCAGGCGTCTTCGTCCTTTACTTCCCCTTCCACCGGTTCGTCCGCTCACGGCCGGTCTGTGACAGCAGCTGAGCGACACGGGGTAGGAAGGGGCCGCTCGACAAATGTGGCTGTCCTGCTAGCACAATCGGGCCGGGCAGAGCATCATTAGTCGGTGACGGCGCTAGGGTGGCGTCGGCCCCAGGGAGTTCGCCAGTGGCTGTAAGAGCTATGACGGCAAGAAGCCCGTTATGCTGTGGCCAAGCGCCAAGAATCCCGAGGATAGCAACACCACGCAGGAAAGGAGCCGCCACGTGGCCGGAATTTTCAGGTCGCACATTGCAATGGACCTGAGAAAGCGGACTAAGAAGCCCAAGCATGAACACGAGGGAACTGCCGCGGTGGCCCAACCTGGCTTGCAAAGGGACCGGTGCACGGGATGGCATCGATAACGCTGGGCTCAAGTGGCTCACCTGCAGGCATAGGTGGCGCTCCTGTGGTTCCTTGGGCCGCCACACCCGGTGAGTGCGTCCCTGAGACTGACGCGGCCGAGTCTCTCATTACCCTCCTCGACGAGTGTGTGC